ATATCATATAAGATCCAAAAAAAACACAAAATATCATTTTCGAAATTTTTCGCGATTACAATCCTTCCTCGTATATAAAGTAAAGTTAGCTATTCAAAGCATATTGGTAAATCAAAAACATTATCATAAGGAATAATTGAGAATATTTGTTTATGCACAGCATTCACAAATATAGTCTAGTCGCTTGGGAAACGAGGCACTGCTTTGTACATACAATATAAAATATAAGTCACTTTGGTTTAAGGTTTAGCTATACACTAATCCTTATCTATCTAGACTATGGCGCCACGGGATATTATAACTTTGTTACTAAAGAAATGAAACATGAAATTCAAGTATTGCAAAACTTCTGCATGAGATTCTGCTTTTAACGTATACATAAGCAAGAACTTATCACCGGCTAAAATGTTTTAAATTTCAAATATCAAGTATTATTGCTTTGGTATGGAACTCTATTAAATAAGGTTCTAAAACATAAATTACCCAATTACCTATTTTACTCCTTAGACAAGAGGTGATGTTCACTCTGCCAAGTTTTTTTTACGCAACTATGCCTATTTCAATATTCCAGTTCATACAACGTCTGAATTCAAAAAATGCTTTACTTACCCAGCACCATGTCCATTGACGATCATTTAAATCTTTTGGAATACCTTGAAACGTCACAAATGAGTCCAAAAAGTGCTACTGCAGATACAAAGATTTGAAGCCATAAATTAATTAATCCTATTCACACTCTGACTATATCATGTTATTTTTAGTATTGTGCATAATATCTGATATAAATGCTAGTCACTCAATACTGTTAATGTGCTTTTTGAATAAATGTAGATCAAACTTTTTAGGGAAAGATGAAAAATGGTTGCGCCACTCCTCCTGCCTTTTGAAATGTTGTCCATTTTGTGCTCATTATGTATTTAATATTCCGATAAAAGTTATTATTATCATTATTATCTGACCATATCCACTACAAGACATTCTGGTAAAATTTAACAAACTAAATGGTGATACAAATATGGCATAGATTGTTTCATTTCTTTTTAAGAAGTGAGACTCGATTACGTTTTATCTGCCTAAAACCTTCTAATCAGTATCTACCGGGAAGACATTATTTGGATAAAAAGACTTGCATGAGATTGTATCCTACTGCGTGAAAACGAAATTTTAACTTTTATAAACGACCACCTATTACAAGTTTTTGTCAGATACATTTTAACTCCAAGGTGTATGAGACAGGCTAAATGGTGTTATAAGTCTTAAGTTCAGTAAATATTGGTGGTACAATTCGGAAACCGATACAATGTAGTCGACTTTTCCCTAGAAACTTAAAACAATGTTATTTGTCAATTATTTACCAGAGCATACAAAATCAGCTTCTCGGCATTACTGACCTATAAAATCGATCGAAAAAATGATTCTCTCACACCGAACCTTTTGCCTAGTAAACCCAAGTGTCCCCATCGAAATCCGTAATCCGATCAAAACACCCCCCGTGGCGGTGGTAAAACCGAAGAGTGCTCGTCAATTTGCATCTCAACTGCCTAAGGGTGCCACTAAAAACGCTCTTCTCTATGGGGTCTGATGTCTCCCGTGCACCCTTAAATTGACTTAAAACTCATCTATTACGCAGCCGATGACGTGAGCCGCATGGGGCATGAATACCTGCTAATAGCTTTGATATATGTACACATCAAACAATAACGTATTCCAATATGGAAAATGGAAAAATCCTATTTATGACATTAGGATGTTAAAAAATGGCAAGTATATCTGAATCGGTCAATGCAAAAACCTCGTACGTACCTATCATATCAGGAGACAGTAAAAACAGTATCAGTACGACAAATAAACCAGGTTTGAGGTACTTTTTTGGGATTAACGATGTACTATAGGTATTTAAATTCTGAAAGATTGCAATTTCGAATAATTGCATCCTCATACTATCTATACGAACATTTATTTAAAATAATTAGCGTATTTCATTTGCTTTTTATACAGGGTATTTTCAAAGTTGAGTCATTTATTGTAATTTCTTGTAGGACTCCTCAAAAGTAGTTGATATTCCAACAATCTCCTATATAAAGGTTGCATAATAAAAGACATAGTAAAAGATTGAAAATTTAAAGAATGAGAATATTATTACACAGATCTTTTGATATTCTCGACCACTGGCGTATAAAATCTTAGGGTTTTCTGTTTACTACTCCTATCGTTTATCTAAATTTAGCAAACTTTTTTGTTATTGCATGGTTTTCAGTACGAGTCTTTGGTTCGATCAGTTGTAAATCAATCGTTCGATACTGCGTATACTTTCATTTGTCTGATTATTTTGTGTGAAAAAATGGCCCATGCCTACGAAAACAATGAACTAGTGGACATAATTCTAACAAACGGAGAGTACCAACAAAATGTAGCTGCAGCATGCAGCTTGTATGGGGAAAGGTTTCCTTTAAGAAATGATCCGGCCCCACGGATGTTTGTAAATTTAGTTATTAGACTTCGTGACAAAGAATATTTAAAAGAGCAACGAGGAGGTCACGCTGGAAAACCTGCTCAACCTGGATTGTTACAAATTGAAGAAGACATTTTATAAATGACCCAACAATTATTATTTAGATTTTCTTCAACACAATCTGCCACCATTATTAGAATATATTCCTCTAAATGTGAGACAGAATGTATGGTTCCTACATAATGGGACTCCACCACATTTTAGTGGGTTCATGAACATCTAAATAATGAGTTTCCGAATAGATGGATGGACCCATTTCTTGACCTGCTCGCTCCCCGGAAATAACGCCTTGTGTTTTTTCTGTGGGGCTATTTGAAAGAGTTGGTGTATCATGATGGAGCAGTCAACTTCAACAGCGCGCTGAAACTGCTTGTGATTTAATTCATGGGCAGCAGGATTTTATTTTCAAAGTTTTAAAGAGTCATGGGTTTGCCGAGCGAGATTTTGCGTTAATCGAACAAATGGGGACAAACTTGAGCAGTCTTTGTGAAAACCGTATCCATTTAATTTGATAATGATTTTTCTTAAAATAATTTTTAATAATTTAAACTAACTCTCCTTTATGCAAGTTTTATATAGGAGATTTTTGATATATCAACTTCTTTTGACGAGTTCTACAAGCTGTTAAAATAAATGACTCAGCTTTGAAAACACCATGTACCAGGCACAGATAAGATCTAGCCTCGAGTACTGCTCACATGTTTGGAGTTCTGCGACACCAACTACATTATCTTGTTCAGAAGTTGGCGTTCGTATGCCTGAGGAGTTTCCTAGGTAGTTCAAAAATCGGATTAACAAAACGTCTTTAAATTCCTTATAGCAATCGCGATGCCCCGGTGTTTAGGTTTCTGCCTACGCGACTGCTTCAGTATACAAAAAAATTATACTACCGTGCAGAAATATCGACTATCCTCTTTCTAGCCCTAGATTAAACTAATATTATCATTTCTAACAAACTTCTGGCAATATTTCATCATCGTTCTCTCGGCGGCTTAGGTTATTCCATCCCACTAACTTGGACTACAAAAGTGTCACATTGCAATCTGCATGCATCACAGGTCCCGCGCACGCGTTGTACGAAAAGGGAAACACCACCGGACAAATAGTGGAATATAGGCGAGGTCTTTGTCATGTGGGGAAAACTATAAGGCTGGCAAAGTTGTAAATACTGTCAAAAAAGAACTGTCAGTTTGAAATTAAAATTGTTCATACCTTAAATCGACTAAATGTCTGTCATTTTCATGAATATGCATTTATTTTAGCACTCGCTAGGTAGCGTTGCTATAGCGCACCCAGCGGATAACATCTGGAATGCGTTTGTAAGTCACTTGGCAATGTAATACCGCACACAGTAATGGAATGTAGATTGGCAGATGAAACTTTACTCGGGAATACTCTGAAGCTTCATTTTTAGAACGCCTAAATTATTACAAAGTCAGGTAATGACACTTGATGACAGCCGACTAACTTCTAACCACGTTTTACGCGACTGTTGTACTTATTATAAGATACCCTAGAGATACGAGGTAGCATTTATCATAAAAAATATATACAGGTATTTTGCCAGTTTTGAGCAGTTTCTTTATATATATGGAAGCAGCCGCGCAGGCAGAAGCCGAAATTCCTGAACACCGCGGCTGCTATGATAATTTCAAAGAAATTTTGTTATTACGATTTTTGAACTGCCTAAGGTTAGTAGAACTGGGAAAAGCTTCCTCTTGTAGATTGTTCCACAATCTCGACACCTTCAGGAGTTCTGGATGTACGAAGTTCCACATCATGGATGAGAGCGCTGAGGAGCAAATCCCGTTGGCGAGTCCCGAGACTGTCTGTTAGAGACGAGTCATCGATCAGTCGGACCGCCCTCCTCTGGACAGCATCGGGCATAAATAATGTAGTCGAGGCGGCAGCACCCCAAACGTGTGAGCAATGTTCGAGGCTAGGCCTTATCTGGGTCTTGTATAGAGTGAGAAGATCATGCGGAGAAAAGTACTTCCTAGCCCTAAACAAGTAGCCTAGCTTTTTCCCAGCAGCGGCCGCTATTGACGAGATGTGTTCGTGCCAGATCAGGTCCTCGGTGATCTCGACTCCGACCAGCCGAAATGAATGGCTCTTTGGCAAATAAAATAAACAAACAATGAACCGTGAGAATGACAAGTGACAACAATTATTCTCAAGGTTTTGAGCTCGGGAAGAAAATCACACTTTACTTTGTTCTACTTCCGAACGCATGTAACAGGTATGTCAAACAATTACGAACGCTGAAATTGTCACAGAGTAGTACAAAGTGCACACTAACAATTTACGAACGCAGACCAGTTCGATGTCAAAGGTAACTGCCCGATTGAAGGAATAACAAGTTTAAACTTTAAGCCGTTTCTTTCAATAAATTTTTTTAATCCAACTCGATTATATAGTATGGTCAATTATACATGGAAGCCTTCAAAACGAAAATAAAGCAAAATGTGTATTAGAATTTTTTTCTTACCTTTCAATTCCGGTCAGCCTTGGATGACGGTATTTCCTTGACAGGAGCAGTCCACCTCCCCAAGCAGCCTGAACAATATTTCTTTTGTCAAACTCCATAAATCATTATATATACGTATATGTGAAAAGGTTTGATATACATGGTAAGTTTTTAGTGCCCGCTCGGTCGATAACTCGGTTATTACGCATGGTATTTAAAAAAAGCCAATCACCAAAATTGTAGGTATTATTTCTACAGGGTCACCCAAACAAACATTTTTTTTATAGAAAAACCTAAGCTTTATTACAGATTCGAATAGACCCTTCCAAGCGAAGCATTTTGATATGATATACTATATCTATTGTAAATCGGATATCAATTCAAATTAAAAATATCACAATACCTTTTAAAATAAAAATAACATTTGGTCAATATCGACAGATGCTTAAAATTTGTCTATATTCATTATGAATTAAACTCAAATACCAATTATACCAACGCCGATAAACCTTATATCAGGCAAAAGTCTGTGAAAATGGGAATCAAGAAATAAAAACTATACATGGTGTTCCATTTGAACATTTTTAAAAATCATTCATTTTGTATTCTTGGCCACTCGGTATAGACTGGCTAAAAATTTGACAAAGTAAGTACGTAGGGATAAAATGTGGGATCATAAAATTTTTCTAATCAAAAATTCAGTTCGCTAGCCTTAACAGTTGAGGAGGTGCGAGTTGTCTAAATTGAGTGTTTTTTTTTTGGATACTAAGGAAGGGCATATCCAAATCGGCAATGAAGTTTAGGGCTTTCGATTAAAAAAATGTATGTTTCAGTCTTCACGTAATTATGAATCACCCTGTGGAAATAAAAATATTTTACAAGTAAAGAGCATTTTGGTGACTACAATTTTTGTATTTAGCTTTTTTAGATAAAAGCTCACCCTGTATGTGGTCGTGGACGATCTCTATAGAATTCTAAAAAGTGACGTGAAAGGTTTCCATACTCAACAGTTCTATGGGACTGCCCCATAGAGATATAGGCACCTCAAGAACGCCATTGGATATCGTATTATCTTAAATAAATTCTGAACGATACTGTATAATTTAACGGAATTCTTATTGCAAAACAACCTATCAGTGATCCATTTGTACGTTTAACAGCCAACTTTTTTAGGTCGCAAGGCTTAACGACTTTCGACATGTTTGTCATTAAAATAGATTCATAGAGATCTGTAAAATGAGCCATTTTTTTAGAAAACGGTTTTGTTGTAGTACCTTGCTTCATCAGTTGTGGAACTGGATACAGTATTCTAGTTTCGTCATTTTGAAAATAGTAATGACAGATTCGTAATCAATTTCCCGATAACAGATATAAATAGGATCACTTAACGAAATCTTATCCAACCTTTTAGAGATGGTTGTATTGCGAATCGGTAGGAATGGTAGTAAAACTGTTTTTTTTTGTACAGGCTCATGTCATCGATGTAAATTTTTAGTGCTGAAGGCTTATTGCGTTACGGTTAGTCCATAGTTGATGATTCGAAAGGGAAGGTTGTAGATTTTCTTTGTTTACCACGTTTTCCATGAAATATTCTATATATTTTAAATTTTCATTTTATTAGTCCCAATTTTACTAAGCCGCAGCGCAAAAAACTTGTGGGTCACAAATTCAACCAACGAGAAGGACTCTTTGAAGTAATTAATATGATGAATTTGGTCGATTTCTTGTAAAGTATCTATGTGTCTCAAACTAGAGGATAATTATACGGCTTGTGTAAACTGGGTCCCTAATTCCCATATTAAATCAAGAAATACCTCATAAATCACTTTGGTTTAGCTAGTAAAACCTATTTCCAGGCACCATTTCCGGACACTAAATTTGCTGCCGTGGTCATTAAATGCACCAATGAAAAAGACATTTTTACGCCAAACTCAAAGCATCGACACAAATTTGATACAATATTTAGATTGATTAGACAGCAATTAAATGAGCATTTTATTGCAAATAACAGTGTCTCACCGTTGATGTACACTCTGCTTGAAAAATTCCTTGAAGACATAAATAAAATTACAGATTGCTTATTCTTTGAAAGACATCGAGTAAATATTGAGTTTACTTGACTACCGTCAGAATAACCCTGTTCCTTGAGCCACTCCTGTTAACAGAGAGTTCTCGCGTCCTCTACTCGGCAGTGGCACAACTACTTCTAACCTTGCCATCGTCACCCCAGCGCGGCGTAGCTGTCTAGTCGTCCCACCGTAAAGTGCTCGACAGGACTTACTTGAGAAACAAAGTTCATTGCACGGCAGCCAAATGAATTGACTATTAATTCAATGTTTCTTGAGAAATTGGCATTTTGTAGTTTTGTTTACATCTTTATTTAGCAGACTTTTGTATAGCAGCAGCGAAATATATTTTTAATAAAATGCTCAGCAACGGCGTCTTGTATCAAGTCTGATCCATGGTTCGAGTAGGACACAAATCTTTCGAATCTGCGAATATACGCAAATCCTTCATTTTCATTGGTGGAATTTGGGACAACTTTTGTTTTCGGATACAAATCAAGATTAGGTTTTTGTAGCTGAATCATGTGATATATGAGGTATTCCTTGATTTAATATGAAACACAAATCGAATGATGTTTCTCCATATTGAATGATATTTCACAAGAAATCGGCCAGATGCATTGGATCCATTGCTTCAAAGACGATTTCTCATTGGTCCAATTCGTGTCAGAGGCACAAATTTTGATTCCCGCGGGTCAATAGTAAAATCGGACCTAAGCGGCATATATCTCCGAGAACCACATTTCCCGGTATTCAAATGGAGTCTATTGTTTCATTTAACTGGACATATAGTTTATACTTACATCTACGTGAAGCCACATTCCATACTTCTTGCAAATGTCAGCAATGGCATTGATAGGGTCGAAGGCGCCTAATACGGTGGTTCCAGATGTGCAGCAAACAAAGAACGGGATGTGGCCTCTGGTTTTACGTTCCATTATCAATCTTTCCAGTTCAGTAGGAATCATTCTGCCGTTTTCGTCTGAGGGTACCATCACGCAGTTGTCTGTGCCCAGACCACAGACCGAGGCACAAGATTTCACTGAGTAGTGACTCTGAAAATAAATTTGATATACTGTATCTTCAGTGATATATTCACATATATACAAAGTATTTGACATACAAATACAAGATACTTCTAGAACAAGTATTTCAGATAACAGATACAAAATACTTACTGGACTGGTATCTGAAATATCACATACAAAATACGTACCTTTTAAATACTTTTTATATATGAAATACTTTCGTAAGTAAACATTTTATTGAGTTCATTACATGCATCAGTACTTTTATGCGACAAGTGGAACCAGCTCCTCAAACATTTTATCATTTATTTTTTTCGATTGTGCTTTATTATCATACCCCAAAAGAGAAGAGTCGTTTCACAGGGGCAGAACTTGGCAAGTTCTCTAAGAACACGCACTAAGATTGGTCTTTTAACTTCCTTTCTTATATCACTTCCAATATTGTCTGAAGCTTCAAATTTTTATTTTCAGATCATTGATTTTTTTGTTTCAGGCTGGATAAGTTCTGTAACTATACTTTTGGCCTAGACTAAAGTCTCAAGCACGCGTTATGTAAAGAAATGCATAAGTAAATATTACTACAAGTATTTTAGCAAACAAAATGTTTACCAAATACTAAGATATCAAATGGAAGGTATCTACATACAGGGTACAAATACAATTTTGAAAAAGTACCTTAAATATAAGATGAAGATACGTATTTATTATCTGTATTTCAGATACTTGTATCTTAAATAGGTAACATCTCCCAGTTTATTACAATCAAAGATACTTCACAATTCAAGTATCCCAGCGAGTGTCAATGAATATTTTTTGAAATAATTTTGCACGGAATAATTAAAAAAAAATTACTAGCACTTGCCCTAGGCACAACCTCTACAAGTAATATCTTTGACTGGAGATACGAATACCTATAGTCTGCCTCAAAATACTCGTACATACATTTTCTAAGTGTTACCACCATTTCTTTATACGAGAAGTGGCAAAACTTTCCGTCCAAATTACTGTAAAATTTCGCACAAAACTGTGACGTAGAAGGTCATACTGTCCCCTAATAGCTTCCCCATGCCCTAGAATATAACCCTATCTGATAAATCCAAACTTTCAAAATACTATAACGACGACTTGTCGAGAAATATCAATAATGATCAAAATAAGACAAGGTAAGGCAGTACAGCAGATGTGATCTACTCTCCATTAAACAACTGAATATGCTGCTTTCGTCACATCCTACCACAGGCAGCCAACCATCTCGCACGCGATACTGGAATTTTATTTTTGTGGTTCTTGTTATTTTTTGTCACTTTTGTTATGTTATATGATTGTATTTTTCATTTTTGTCGCATGGTCTTAGCTTCGCAGAATTTAGTCGAATGAAAAATGTCGCTTGCGAGATTCAAGAATGCACATATGAGTTCCGTGTCACATTCTAGCTATTTCGTATGCGGCATTGACAAATCGACACTCAAGAACCACCTTAATGCCCTCCAAAACAAGGGAGAATGAAGTATGTGTCGTTTTCGTAAAAGTATCAGATATGTCACGCTCGACCTTCGTCCCAAAAATTCCTCTTGAAGAAACGTGAACCCACCCAGAACTGTTGAAACACACCGGTTAATTGTTATGCAATGTTCGACTAAAATGTTGCAAATGCATTGTTAATGGATCTGAAACGCCTGAAACAGTACTTCGACATTTAAAGGGAAGCTTGTTGTTAGTTCTTTGAGAAAATATGCAGTGGTCGAGTTTGGTATAGATGTCTGATTTTGATAGGTCACATACCTCTAATATAGGATAATTGCTATGCTTTCGTTAGTTGTCCTAGAGACCAAGCATGCGCCATACATGAGTTGCCAAAAAACATGAAACAATTATCCATTGTTGGCTGTCTGTGGTTGGATGGACGAAAGCAGCATATTTAATCAATAATTATAGCAACAATAAAAGTTTTTCGTGAGGCATCTTGGATTTTTCCGCATCTTACCCTCAATGTAGAATCCACAAAATACATTACTTCGACCCAAATTGAAATTGTATTACATTCTCCCCGATCTGACGTCGTGGCAAGTGAACGTAAAAGTTTGCGAGAATCAAATAGAATCATTAGTATCTCTTTGAATGAATCAAAGCGCAATTTATTACGCATAGATGCTGTATTATTTCTTAATAGGGGACTTGTTTTGGCATTGCAAATAGGCTGAAAAGTCCAAGTGAAATGAACGGATTGTTTTGACAGTATTTTCGACATCAGTTGCCCCATACGAGTATCCTAGAAGCAAACATTGTAAAAACCAAACTATCATTCGTTATCGTTTACCTTTTTGTGTCATCGTTTCGGTTTTATATATTTATTTTTCATTTGTTTATATTTTTCTTACTACAGGAATAAATCATGTGAATACAAATGAAACAAAATACTTCTTTAACTTATAAACTTACTTGATCAGAGGTGAACATGACCAGTTGGCCCTGAATGGTGGCTATACCCTTCTCTTTGTAATTCGGGAACATTTTATGCCTTGCAGCTAGAAAGGCGTATAGATTCGATATGGAACCACCTGAAATGGGATGAAGAATTATTAAAATACTCGTTGCCTAAGTACCAACAGTTTCGATTTCATAATTCATTCAGAAGAATTGCTGAAAAGGCTAATTTTGGGTTGTTCTGTCGCCCTCGCAAGTTCCATTCAATTGTGTCAATTTATGGAAGTAAGTGACGAGATATCAATATTATCAAAGTATTACCATTTTCTAACGTATTCTACTTGAAAATAGCCAACCCAGTACTATGTTCGCGCGTCAGAAAAATTATTCGAGATAAAATGATAAAATGAGATACCGTAGCGTCATTTATGAGATAATAATTAGAAACCTACTTTGAAATAGTTAGTGTCTCATAGATGGCGCTGTAGCGATATGCTCATATAGTGCTACAGCGCCATCTATGAGGCATTAACCTTTTCAAAGTAGATTAGTAATTATTGCGCAGAGGAGAAACAGTCGTGACAAGTTCTCATAGATGACGCTAGGATCTCTCAGGTAGAATAGGTTAATCAATAGTTTTGGGTTGAGTGTGAATTTCGTTCTTGACACTAATTCCTTTAAGCGATCTATAAGAAATTTTGGCGTCACTTTCAAAATATGACATTTCGCAAACTATGGATATGAACCTCAGGAATGGGTTATATATAACCGCTGTTATCTAACCAAGGGTCTGAAATTAAAAATACTTCCACAATGTTATATTTTAAGGATATTTTACAGCTTCCTTAAATTTATGGTGAAGTTCTACATTAAGTCACTAAAAGTAGGAACAAAGTTTTATCATACATTTGAAGGAAATTCAACGGTGTTCGCCAAACAATACAAGGAGTCTGTTTTGTCGCTAATTCTTGACCGGTTTTTGCTGTTGGCCTCGTGATTGAAAAGTGATATAAAGAAGTAACCCAGCATAAGCATAGCCTTCACTGGGGTGTATTGGGTTCTACCCAACATGCAAGAGATATATCAGAGATCAGCATTAGTATTAGGTACAAACCTAAAAAACGACAAAATGTCATCTTGCAGACTAAATAGTTTTTAGCGTTCAAATGGTTCATTCCAAGTTTGGTCGATATGATAGCTGTGAGCGCAATCAAAAGCATCCGTCTATGGAGGAGTGACTCAACGACATGACCTGCATGGTTGCTTGTTGGTTGCAGAAAACTGAGTAGTCTGTAGTGCTTATGTCTGAGAAGATGTGAAAGAAAGAAAGTTGGTTGAGTAGCAAGATCGCATCTGGATGATTATGCGGATTGGTCTGCATGTGTATAAAATCAGTGATATTTGCGATGTGAGAAAATTATTACTGAATATGCTGCCAATGAAGTATTTGTAGTTGTATTTTTTACTTGGCACCGTAAAATAAATTTCTATAAAATTTACTTGACTGGAAATAAAAATTAATGTGAAATGTAATATTCATCGATGTAGCATATTTTCTCACCTCTTACTTGTAATATACTTCACCAACCAGGAATTTTCTTTTCATATCTCTCTCATTTTTGACATTCTGCAAATTTGTATATGTAATCAATGATTAAGAAAAAGTGGATGCGCGACTAATTTGTAGCTCTGATTACATTCCAAGTATTTGAGACAAGAAGCCAATGTCAAAAATGTCGAATTAAAATGCCAAAATTTCACTTTTAAATATATGTAATACTCGTGCGGATCATTTTCTCGTTTTATTTTTTATTTCATAGGTAGTGTGATAATGCTCTTAAGCGTAGGGTAATGAGCAAAGTTAATGGAATTAAATTATGTAGGCTTTCAGCACCAATTTAATCTTTGCCAGGTGCTACGTTTCCCGGAATTAAACCGGCTGATTAGTGAACTTGTTGACATATGCGATTAAACAAAGAGGATCCAGTTGAATCAGTAGCGGGAAAGCAGTTTGAAAATGGTATTTTTTATAGTGCAGCAACCTCGATAGAGTGCTGCAGCATCAAGGATGAGAACTGAGATGGACATACTCTGTTGTCATATCGAAAAAGAAAGCCAAATGATCGATTGCTCGTCTGTCAGTCAGGCTGCCTCCTTTGATCTGAAATAAGAGTGAACAATAGGAAAGCTCATCTATCCATCGAAGCTCAATGTGCGCTTGAGCATCTCTTGTTTTTTGAGCTTTAGTTCATCTCAAACATATAGTGCTTACATTTTTTATCGACACTCGTTAAAAGGCCATGTACGAGTCGGCGGATTCTCTGTAAGCTGGTCTGGATGCACATTAGTATCTGCTTGAGGAGGAGCTGGGGGGTAGCGGTACTGAGTCGGTATTATAGCACACTTAAATTTTGTAAATTTGTCGCTGTGCCCGAATCGAAACAATGTGATGCCGCTATATTCAAAGCAATTATATGGAACTGTTATAATAGTGCTTTTTCCGATATTGCACACTGCTTAAATGTACAATTTATACAAATGAACCAAATTTTTTCATTATTTTCGCGTGTCGCTACCATAAAGAAGCACAAAAATTTAAATAGGCACTATAAGGCTGTTGTGAACAATAGCGTTGTTTGGGACAGCATTATGTCTGAGAAGTGAATTACACTTACTCTTGATATTTTGTCAGCGAGACTGACTGTATCACTCCTTCTCTCTAGCTCAACTGCAGATACTTGCAGTGTTATCGAGCTTATATACACAGAACTGATCATTAATGTATCACTTTACCTGGAGCCAGGATAGAATCCCCTTTCCTCCAGTTCTTCCCGATGATCTCTCTCATATGGGTCATGACAACGTTTTCCATCAGAATGAATACAGGTGCAATCTCGTAGGTAAACATGTTGGTGTTGGCTGTAGCTGTAAGCCATTCTCCAGCCATCGAGATAAGGTCAAGGCCGCAGGAGAGCTGATTGAAGAAATGTGGGTGACCTGTAACAAATTAAAAGAGGTTGATGATTGTCATTCTGGAACCATCACTAACTGAATGTCTCGTTAATCTGCTTAAGCAAACATGGGAAGACTTACTAAAATATATTTTTGCTGCCCACGCCACTGACACGAGAAAATATTATATATTTTTTGGGCGTTATATGACATGTACTTGTATGTACGTCACGAAAAACCCTGCAACTCATTTCTGTGGTTGTCTAACTGTCAGTCTTTGCCTTGACCTGACTATAACTTTACAAAGTATCGCTCGGATTTCGATGAAATTTGTTCATAGGGCTACTGGTATTCCAAGCATGGAAATTTTTTTTGGCGTTAGTAATTCTACGCACCCAATAAATATAGTCACGTGTCTCTGGATATACCTGCGTCAAGGACTGACCGATAAGTGGTTGCCATGGCTGACTAGTGGTGAGATTCTTCATAGCAAGGTTGCCAGATGGGCAGTACTATCCATAGGGCAGGAGAAAAATCTAAAAAAAATTGCAACGTTGTCAAAGGTTGGGGACTATGGTCTAATTGTGTATGTCTGTTTAAATATCTTGATCACTAATTTTTCGTTATACCATCTCTTAGCTTAGTTTTTGAACTAATCCGTTCAAAAAATCAAAGGGGAGAGGGACGTTAGAAAAGCACTGTATATGTACAAGATATCAAACGAGAAGCGCATTAAGTACATTACGATAGTAGAGCGAAAAAGACGTACACATTGCAGATAGAACAGCGAAGACAATTATTTGTCTAGGGGTATTCGACATATGGCAACAATAAGTAAATCTGATGCTTATCCGATGTAAGCGAAATCCCTCTTTCTGTCAGCTGCAGCAACATGGGGCAGGGGTGAGTTGAGTGGCAGGAATCGCGCTGTTTCTCGCCTAATCTCTGTCTGAATGCAGGGATGAGCATTGAGCAGGCTTCTCCTGTGCCTGCTGACGCTTCTGCTCCTGCCAGCAGGAATTGTGTCCAGTGGCCCGGAAAATGACGCTCGGCACTCGACATTCGACGGCACATACCCGCTGTCGAACAGCGGAAGCTAGCACAGACATACGTTTGCCATTTATCTCGAATTTTACATTTTGGGTATACTCCAATAAGTAGGTATTTTTTACAGATAGTGCGACAGAGGACTTCCGATTGATATCGTTAGAAAAAATACAGACTGGAATGACTATAGGGCCAGACCTTTAGCTGTCATTTTGGTGAAGGGATTTAGTCAATTATCTGGTAAAGAATCCTCGTTGGATGGACTCTTAGCGATGCTGCTGCACATAATGCAAAAATTAAAGGGTCTAAGATAGCAGGAGATTCAATTTTTCCCTGACTAGTCACTTTTGTCCTTGAAACTAACCTGGAGTATAACCTTGAATGTCAAATTGATGTCTATACAATTTTTGCATATATCTTATACATTTCACCTCAAAAATTGATAGAGTGAACAATTTCATACTTATACATGGCCTTTTGTGAAATGACTTTTAACACCCTGCTCAAGGTCTTCGTAAATGACACACTTGAAAATACTTCAAGGAACTTTCTGAAAAAAGCATAATACCCCATACGCAGAAAGAGCTTCATCATCGTCGATGTTCTTGAAACCTACCTTCATTATACCAGTGAATGTCAAATCAAGGTCCAGATAATTTTTTTCATGTATTCAATACTTTTGACCCCAAAAATTGATAGAGAAGAATACTCGTATTTCACGTTCAGACATGACCTTGGGTGAACATATTTTGACACTGAAAGTCCTGCTCAATGTCATCGTAAAAAACCTGCTTGATAAGATTTCTAAGATCTTTCTGAAGATAGAGTGAAAATAAAGCCTCAAAGGCACCAAGAGCTTCAGCTCATTCCTGATTGTTTACTGGTACCTTTGAAACTGATTTCGATTATGGCCTTGAGTGTCAAATTAAGGTATAGACAATTTTAAGCATATACTCTACTAGATTTACGCTTTAAATTTTTACTAACACAAAACATTGTTTTTGAGTGTTGCTTTAACTTCTGATCAAGGTTTGTCACCTTGATGGTACTAGTAAGTTGACAGTCAACTTGCATGCTTTAGAAATTTGGGGGCAATTTTTTTTTAAATCAGCATTTTGAATTAAACATAATTTTACATTGTAAAAGCCACTTCTCTGCGAAATGTCCGCTTACACAATCCATTCATAGTTTATGTCTACTCTAAACAGAACCACATAGTTGAGTGTTTCTAGATATTAGTTATCCAAGCAGTTGCAAACTTGCAAGTGTCCTTCAATATCTTCATCCGGCTCTGATACAAAATCCGTTCTAAGCTGAAATGTCTTTTGTCCATACCCTACCTCCCTGCCGCAATACATGTTTGTAGGTCAAATAGTTTCGTAATTAATGGGTATCTTTCCGCTTTTACATACATCTGCCCGATGCTACCTTAATCTAGTCCTGTTAACTGACACTCCTTCTCCATCAACTATCTCTCTTCCAAATGGTTGAATAGTTTCCGAGCCCAGTTTTAAAATCTGTTCTTAGCCGATATATTCTGTGCATAAGCTACCTCTCTGCGAAATTTAATGTTCCTAGCTTCAATAGTTTTAGAAAATTCCTGGCTAATGGGCGAGTATCTTTTCACACTTGAATATATATGCCCATAACCCCACTTGACCCCGCCCTGTAGCAAAATTAGTCATGTCTTTAAACTACCTCACTGTCAGATTTTTTATTCCTTGGTCAAATTTCTATAAACTCGAAAAGTGATAAGGTTCCCCATAGAAATATTCAGCCCCCTCCTACCTTATCTTGAGGATATAATTTCTGAAAATCTTTGTTAATAATAACTATTGGAGACAAAACATACTTTTGGCCTTGGTTATTTTGAAATAATCTAAATTCTTTACAAAAACTTGAAAAGTGTAAATACCCACTCTGGTGGGCTGGAACCTACAAAACTTCTTTGTATGTCCCATTTAAGCTGTATCAAAGAACAGAGCATATGAAATCCATATCTGTCCAGCTAGCTTTGAAAGACAATTATTGGTTTTCTATAACGGATTTCACTCCTTTCAACAAAATTGGTTTAGCCGTTTTGATTAGTGAATATCCAGGGAAAAATGGAGCTCCTGCTGTCTTGTACTCTTTATGTTTGCTTAATCAAAATAATTTGCAGCCAAGGTCACGTAAAATTTGCGTTCTATCTACGAGTATTTCCGGGCTGAAAAGCATGGAGTACTATTATAGAAAAGCCAGATGAAAACTGAATCTCCCACTGCATTTGGGTCTTTATTTTTGCTTCAGCAAGCCACCACTATCAGGGAAGAATCATAAAGTCCTACTATTTCACTTTTAACGTAGTCATTGAATATTCGTTCCTCATTCCGGGACTTTTGGATCACATTGTATGTCTGTTCTGCTCAATCCTTTCTAACATCAATTCTTTTGTTTAGATGGTGCTTCAGCATTCCAATAGCCTCCTAAAAACACTGCTCTACCGCAGATATTTGGACACATTATGAAATTACTTGAGGCTGATGTAATATTTTTGAATGACTTATTGTGTCGTCATCGAGAATAAATAAAATAACATTTTAAAAAAACATTTATTTAGTTGTTCATAAAATGAAGTAAAAATGAATAAACATTTTTTCCGATTGGAAATTTGTAAACTATAACGTTTCCATCCTGCTGTCAAAACCTAACATGCTTTAATTTGAAAACCTGAATTTTTTGTTTATTTTACGAAATAACTAGTTTGGTAAGTTCTACATAACTTTCACATGTTTTACTAATAGCAGTTCGTAAAACTTTTTAATTTATTCATATAAATCGATATTTTATTTTTTATTTTTATATTAAAATGACGTTATTTGCATGTAGTGCTTCTCTCATCAAGCTCTTTCATTTGATATCCACATCACAGCGGTGACCATGGAAATTATAAATCGCCACACAACGGCGTTAGCCGTATTAGATCTAGAAGAACGTCACTATGTCATTATGTTTGCTCATCAAGCCCTTTCAATTGATACCCATAAGATAGGGGTGACTATGGAGATTATAAATTGCAAAATTGTGATTGCCTCCATATTGGATTTAGAATGATATAGCGATTTTTTATGTTTCTCGAATAAACGCCTTTAATTTGATACGTATATCATAGGGCTGACTATGATATTATAAGCACCATCTTCGAGCGGTCTCCATATTGGATTTGGAATGATGTCACTTCAGTTATTGCGTTTCTATTATCAAACCCTTTTATTTGATAGTCATATCATCAGGGCGACGGCCGCCATATTAGATTTAGAATCAGGTCACTATGCTTATTGTATTTCTTCCATCAAGGCCTTACATTTGATCCATATTATACTGGTAACTGCAGAAAATATAAATCGCCATGTAGCGGTGAACTTGGAATGACATCAAACTATGCTTACTATTTCTTTCAAGCCCTTTCATGATACACATGTTGTAGAGGTGATTATGAAATATGTAAATCGCATTTGCGGCGGTAGCCATATTGGACTTACAATGACGTCTTTTCGCTTATTGTATATGTATATCATAGGAGTTAGTATGGAAATGATGAATCACCATTTTGTAGCAATCGCAATAGGATACAAAATGGCGGCGACTAATTTATTTTATATTGTCGCGCAAACCAAACATGTGTACAAAATTTCAGCTCAATTACATACATACTAGCAAACAGGTTAAGATAAATAAACTTGTAAAGATCAGTCCATTAGTCTGTCTGTATGCGGTTCTGTCGCTACGTAACCTCAGTAACACTTGCAATGAATTTATTGGTAGGAGAATGATGTCATAAACCAGCACTACATGCTACTGGTCTGTGCGTGCCATTAACGGAAGTCGTAGCTGATTGCAGCAGCGCTAGAGTTTGTAAACAGGGAAAGTTTGCACCCTCTGGTGTAATTAAGGGCACTCAAAACTGCCCCATCCCAGACGGGGAGCAGCTGTCGGATTAAAACGGGAGCGCGAGAAGT